AGGGCAACTTCACGAGCTACACCCAAATATATCCGATGTCATTTTTCCGCCAATCAGCACGTTTCCATCCGTTAATTGAAGCTCATTCGACATCATTGCTTACCGTAACGAGTGGGTTCTAGGAACTAGCAAGAGCGTTCTTTTTAGAACAGGTAATGTAACGCGTTTTCATGAAGCTCTGATTAAAGACATCGAGGAAATCCCAAGGTCAAAACATATTGGTACCGGAATTTTACAGCATGTTATAAGCGCAAGTATTTCAGACCAATTACGGACAAAAATCATCACGTTAAAGATGACAGTTTGCTTTAGTGGTTTATTTAAAAATTTTCTCCATGGAATTTATATTACACCCCGTTGACACTAGTGTCTATGAAATTTTCTTCACTAGAAATCCGAAAAAACACCCTACAGTGCCTATTTACACCCAATATGGCTAAAACAATATATGTTACAAAGACAAGTTTAAGTCCAATGACAGTATGGCCTTTAATCAAATACGTAGAACTATCAACTGTTTAAATAGCACAGTGAAGTAGTAGTGTATCTGGTCAGACGTCTTACAAACGGCAAGNCCAAACACAACCTCCCTGTGACTATAGCTACCGCTTGGAGTAAATTAATTCTCACTGTGACACTGTCAGTGGTAATCTTTGCATATGGCCTCATGCAGTATTATTATGAATGAAGTTTCTTTCACGCCATCCTTGTCATGTCATGAGCATTACAAAACTACAAGCTTAATGAAGCATGGGGATCATATACGTGTACGTATACTCTACAGACATTTTGCCCGCTTAATTGCTAGTCTTGTCCTAGACTTGTACTTCCATGTGGTACTTACTCGTGCAAGCATACAGTAGTTCAACATATTTAATCTATACTTCCCAGCAAATCATCGTGAAAGTGGAAAATAAAATTTTGACAGGATAAGTCCTTGGTACTGTAGTTACTTCTATAAATGACGTTGTGAATGATTTACTCACACTCTTTAGGATCGGGTAATGGCGGAGATTCCTGTTTAGGAGGTGCGGGTTTTCTGTCCAATAAAACGTAACCAAACGTCGCTGGATGATTGATAGAAGGATCAAATTCTGGATACAGTGAAGATCTGGTTGACGTGCCATCTTCTCCCTCGCGAATCTCAGCTACGGAATCAGAAAGTTTGTGCCCATAACGACCAAAAAACACAGGCGAACTTTTCGCAGCATCGTAACTGCTTCCCACTGATAACTGCTCCTCCTCTGAATAGTCCCGCTTGCTGCTATTTCGAGCTGCATGGAGTTCTAACATCTCACTAAATATGGAGGAAGACGGACTACATGGTGCAGGGTACATTTTAAGAGGAATACTTGAAGATTTCTGGACA